GTCTGTCAACTCAAATAGTTATTTCTGTAGTAAGACACTATTTGAATAGTTTAAGTATACAGACAGTGACATGAATGCCACATAGAAATGGTCAGACAACACACAAAACAATGAAATAGTATAATCTTTTTTATGTCATTATCATTCAGTGGACTGGCTAGATAAAAAATATAAGTCATATCCTGTCCATAGTATTAAAAATACTATTGCATCTACATCTCTAGTATCTTTAAAAATCAATAAATTTGGCTCCATCCTGTTGGGACTAGATCAAGCTATTATCATGTCTTCAGTTGATAATGGCACAGTATTTTGCAGTGCTTAAAAGCATGAACTCTGCAGTCAGACTAAGTGTGTTGAAACCCAGCTTCATAATTAATTCATTCTGTAGTCAAAGCAAATGAACATTATCCATCAGCTGTGTGACTCTGCAGACATAATTTTGTATCTCTATATCTCATTTTCTACATCCATAAAATAGACATAACAAAGATAAATAACCCTAAATATGTAATTAGTTTTAAATAGTTACATTTTTTATGATACTTTGACCGTATTCCAAAGTTACTATGCTATTATTTCTTTAGATATCAAAAGATTTTCTAAAATGTAACTCAAATCAATTCAGGCTGAAATCCAAAATTTCTTCTACTATTACATGACCCATCTGTGCTTTGATTCTATTCATTATTTAAGCTTCATCCTCAGTCTTCTTTCCTCTAAGCTTTTGCTTTCTCTTCCTCCCTTCTATTCTCCTCTTTCTTCTTGTCTATCTTCTTGTCCTAAAGATGCACCTGTGAGCTGGGAGACAGGGAAGACTCACTGGCCTTAGCACCAGGATAAAATCTGTGTTGCCTGTGTTGTTTCAATACGCTAAGGCTTTATGAGGGCACTCCTCCTTGCCTGAAAAGAGCTTTCAATAGAAAATCCCCCAGAGCCAGTTTTGTAAAAGACACAAAGTCTCTATGGATTCCAGTTTGCAATCTGGCCCTGACTCATGATTCACGAATCATTAATAAACATCATTTAGATCTTTAGGCTAAATTGGTTGAAATTTCGTTTTATTAACAGAAAAAAAGAGGCTAAATATATAGATTAATGAGATGTCAACTATTAAAAAAAACAAGTGTAAGACATAACATTATTGTGAGGCTGAAAGCCAAAGAAATTTACATTTCAGTTACCTGGGGTAAGAAAAATGTCAAACTCTTCTTAGCTGGTGTTGGCTGGCTCAGAGGTTTGAAAAAACAAGACATGAAAAATGTGAATCCTGAAAGTGGTAGAGAGAGCTATTAGGGAGCTTTGGCTTCTAAGGAGGTGATGACAGATAATTTAGGTTTAGGTAGCAAAATGGAAGAATAGAAGGTCCTCATCCTCCTCCCTCACAAAAATTACAAATTTAAGAATTGTTCATGGACAAAAATATCTTTATGCGAGGTCTGAAATGCAAGAGAGAAATTACAGCACTGTGATGGAGCACAGAATGAGAAAAGAAGCATTGAAGAGAGTGAAAGGCAAAGTTTCCCTTGCCCAGGTTATCCTCCTCCCTACCTTGCACAGTACAGCACCAAGAGAGATCCCCTCAGCCCAAGAGTTTCTTCATAAATAAAAGAGGGTATAAAGAAAATGAGGCATAAATGGGATACTGTTTAGGTTTAGAAAAGAAATAAATTTGTCTTTCATAACAACATGGATAAATATGGAGGACATTGTGAAGCAAAATAATCAATTCACATAAAGGCAATTAACACATGATCTTAACCATATGTATGTGGAATCTAAAAAGTCAAACTCGTAGAAACAGAGAGTAAAATCAGCAAAAATGTTGGTTGCAAGAGGGTAAGAGGTGAGGGACTGGAGAGATCTCATCATGGACACAATCTCTTTAGGTGGGAAGAATAAGTATAAGAAGTCTGTTGTACATCATGATGATTAGAGCTAATGATATATTACATATTTGAAAATTGCTAAGTGAGTATGGTTTAGGTGTTCTCATATCCTCAAAATGATCAATATGTGAGGAAGTGTAGCCTGACATATCTATTCCACAACACATATGCATATATATTGTACATCATGTTTTACACCATGAAGATATACAATTTTTATTTGTTAATTAAAGAAAAAGTAAAAGAGTGAGCCTGGCCAAAGATATATACCTGTACACACAAACAGAGAGAGTGAGAGTCAATTCTCATTATTCTCAGTAGCTATATTGTGTAACTAAGAGAGGAGGAAAGAAAAAAGCAGGCAGACAGTTAGGGCAGGTACTCAGTGAAGTTCTTTCAAACAAAAGAGCAGCCTGGGAAAATATAAAGCTGCACGCACAGACAAGCAAGGCCCAATATGGAAATGTTGTCTGTCCTTTGTGTAATACCTCGGGCTCCAGGGAAGAAAAACTTTCCTCCCTTTTTACAGACATGTACACAGTGAGCTCTGTTGAGCGTATTTCTCTCTTTTTTAAAGAAGAGTTACCTGAAGCTGCACAGATAAGGAAAGTTACACAGGCATCTAAATAGATAAGGGAAGTTTCTATAAAAACCTTTTTATTCAACTTTGAAACAGCAACCCTCCAGAATCCCCTTTCAGCTGCAGAGAGCTTTCCTCTTTCACTTACTAAACTTTTGCTCCAACCTCACTTGCTGTCCACATTCCTTGTTTTTCACTGTCATGAGACAAAAAACACTGGATAACACATCAGAAAACAAGACTACTTCATAATCATTGCTATGAACACTGAATTAACAAATACGGAACCATTCATTACTCCTCCTAGAGTTAGGTTTCTACAAGCCTCTAGTCACATTTTTGTAAACCAATCAACATATAATCTTGTTTTGTGGGTAGTTCTGCTTAAAAACATATTATTTAATATATAGTTTTTAAAAATAAATGATTGCACAGATTTTTAATAATTTAAAGCCAGGGGCTTTGGAGGACATTTGCATTATAAGGTTTACTTGGTAGTGTCCTAGGATAATAAACCTGTCTCATCAGCATTGAAAATCTGCTCTTTCACATAATTATTTTCCTGTATAACTCTTAGCAGGCATTTAAAAAATTCTGTAGCTTCCTGATATGCAGAGCCTATCTCAGTTGCAAGATTAAACATATTCGTGCCTTATTGTCTTTTTAAATGTGTAAGCCAGCCAACACCAGGCAAGAATTTGACATTTTTCTTACCATGGTTAACTTTAATGTAATTGTTTTTGGTTATCAGTTTCACAACGATATTGCCTACACCTATTTTTTAATTAGTTGACATCTCATGAATCCACAAGTTTAGCCTCTTTTTCTTCTATTAAAAAACCTAAATTTCAACACATTTAAAGAACAAAGTGGCTTTTATTAATGATTTGTGAAGCATGCAGCATTCTATTTAAAAATAGAAGGCGGCCTGGCAAGGTGGCTCACATCTGTAATCCCAGCATTCTGGGAGGCCGAGGCAGGTAGATCACTTGAGACTAGGAGTTCAAGACCAGCCTGGCCAACATGGCAAAATCGCATCTCTCCAAAAAATACAAAAATTAGCACACCTATAGTCCCAGCTAGTTAGGATGCTGAGGCAGAGACTTTCTTGAACCCCAGAGGTGGGGTTAGCAGTGAACCAAGATTGCACCACTGTACTCCAGACTGGGCAACAGAGCAAGACTCAATCTCANAAAAAAAAAAAAAAAAAAAGGAAAAGGCAGTAACTGTTGTTTTTTTGCAAACTGGGTTGAGCAGAAACAAAGAAACAGAAAAACAAATGATTAATATTAAGTTACTCAGATTACTTTCTTCCTAAGAGTTAAAGCAGAGGGTATTTCTTAATCATATGAGCACAGATTGGACCTTTCCTGATTGTTTCCAGTGAATATCTTATTTTTAGGAAAAACTAGTCTGTTTGGGAATTTCTGTGATTCTTTACAGTTTTCATTTGACTACATGGTACCAGCACAGATGACTCCATTTTGGTTTGGTCTGTTGGGACCTAGTTTAGGAGCTCAGTTCAAAACAATGGCTTCTCATAAGCTTTATTTAACACATATTTTTTTGTACCTTTATCATATACCGTAAAAGCTACTGAAACTTTTTCCAAAATGACTTCATGTACAGCTAAACTTCCTTCTGTTCTAAAGGCAACTGTATTGTTGTTCATCAGCTTTGAACTCACAACCAACAGCACTATAACTCATTTTTGGATGAAGCTCATCTAGCAAAGTTACTTTTTCTATAAGGCACATGATGACTTCTTGCACTTAGAAACACTTGATAGTACTTCAGCATTATACTTCAGGGCCACTTAAATAGTGGGATCCCCAAGAAGAAGGAAAACATGAGGAAAAGTTTGCACTAAATTAAAAAAGGACATTTGTTAGCAGTATAAAAGCTGAAACTAGAAATCAGTGCTTCCTTGTTTGACCTCAGCTGAAAATTATATTCTGACATGTTCATACAATTAATTTCTATAACATTTATTATGATCATGAAAGAAATAAAGTATATATTGCAAAAAAACTTGAATTATATAACAAACTTGTAAAGTCTAATATGTTTTAAATACTTTAGATAATATAAATATAAAAATTATGAAATAAAATTAAACTTAATGTAACATGAATGATGCTAGTATTTTAATACTTTATTCAAAATAGAAAGGCATTATTTAAAACAAAGAACTGAGACATCATCTTTCTTTTCTCAATATATACATATGATATTTTTAAGAACCAACAATTCTGGCATTCAGGCAATCCTGCTGAGAGACAGTCCCCAGAGAAACTTGAGGACCCAGTGTTTCCACCTCCTTAATTGTCCTCTTATTAAGGTATTAGCTCTAAAGAGTTATCTGAACTCAAATCTTCAACCCCCAAAGGCTTCTTTCTCTGACACCATAGGGAGGCCATCACCGCACCAGGACCATGGGGCCTTAGACACCTGAAAACTATTTATAACTGAGCTGATTTGGAAAAGCTGTAAGTCATAAGAGAAAATGTGCCTTCCTCGGTCCAGGTAGATTTTCATCCTGATATGCACAAGACCGCTAGTGAAGTAAAGTAGTGGTCACTTGCTCTTTGATGTCAAAAGCCGGATCTACAATAGGCTGATGGAAGGTTTCACGTCCATAGTCAGAGCAGATAGCCTCTGAAAAACAGGCTTGTGTAAGATTTCTTGGGTCAGCAGCTACTGTTTGGGCTTGTGGGCTTGGAAGGGGGTGCATCTGTATCACAAGCAGTGGTATCTCTACTTTGTTATGAGTTGGGACCAGACTGTAACTTTCATTTAGAATTTTGTGTATGGGCTCTTCTACTTAGTTCAGTGCATCAAATGAAGGCTGAAGAAGAAAATAATGGAAGTGTAGATGTATCAGCTCTATATTCTGAACAAGCTTTAGAAATCCACTATATAAGAGCAATGTTTCCTGCTGCTGAAAGCACTCAGCAATGCATTATGTCATTTTACATTTACAAACACTGTGGGTATACATCTTCTAAGTCTTAATGTAAAGTTCACAAACTTGGTATCTATCCTTGGGTTCAAATTCCAGCTCCATAAATTCATAGAATAGCTTTGAGCAAACTAATTGAACATTCTTAGCTTATTTTCTTATTTGTGTCATAAATATGATTACCCACCCAAAACCTTCCTTAGGTGATAATGTCAGTGCAACTAACATAGTGGTTATTAGCAATTCATGTTGTTTTACATTATTTTTATAAAGAGATGGATACAGGATGTAAGATATAACCAGAGACATCATAATCCATTAAATTATTCCTCCTCAAAAGCATATGTGACTTTTTTCCCCTTTATTTCCTCATTTTGTCCATTTTGTAGTTAAACTAGGAATAAAATGCTGACAATTAAATTTTGTTGGAGGCTGATCCCTAAGCATGTCTCAAAACTTAATATGATAATCAGAAAATTGCTAATGCAATACAGTGTTTGGGATTAGTGTAGACTATAATAAATTTATATACATTCAAAGTAATTTCAAACCAGTTGTCTTCAAATTATATAAAAAAATTTACCAGAAAATAATTATAATTCCTTACCTTTAACTTTTCTCCTTTTCTTTATTCATTTAGTGGAACAACAAGCCAATATATGGGAAGACATTATTTCTGCCAAATGAAAATTTTCAGGATTATAAGGAAGATGGGTATGTAGAAATACAGAATACAGTGTGACAAAATATAGAAGATGGGTAAGCGTAAATATCACAGGAACACCAAGGAGGGGTTTTAAAGATGGCTTGAGATAGTTAGAATAATAATCTCAGAGAATTTGATATGGGAGGAGAGTTTTCTACAATTCTGATTACAATTATTAAGGTTTTAATTTTAATGTTTTTTGTTTGTTTGTTTGTTTGTTTGTTTGTTTTAGGACAGGATCTCACTCTGTCTCCCAGGCTGCAGTGCAAGTGATGCAAACATAACTCATTGTAGCATCGAACTCCTGGGCTCAAGTTATCCTCCTACCTTGGCTTCTGAGTAGCTGATACTATAGGTTCACGACACCACACTCAGCTTATGAAGGGATATTATGTGTGAAAAATATTATGAAAAACAAAGACACACCGTGATCACTTTCTTAAATTGAGTAGGTAACCAGTTATTTATGCAGAGAGATACGGAGAAAGGTATTTTTAATGTTTAGGGAAAAAATGAATATTTTACAAAAAAAGGGAGTCCATATCCTATTTGTAAAGTCCTAGTTTGTATTTTTTTAATAAATGCAATGACAACTTTGCATTGTTTGTATACTTACACTAAATAGTCTAAGTAATACATGAATAAATTGAATACACTCACTGTTAAATAAGTCAAACCATGGTTATATATCTAAATTGTACTCTCTACTCATTTTCATTTATCACTCATTTTACATGCCTACTAAATTGGATATGTATTGTTTTAGATTTTTTTGAGTTTATAAAATTTTCAGTCCAAATGCGATGAAATACAATACATATATGGGAAGGTTTAAATTTTTTGTATATTTCAGTATTAATCAAAACAATTTAATTTCTGCTCATTTTTTATTTGAATAGCTTTTACGTATTTATATAAATATGCCATATTAATTTTAAGTGCTGCTGAGTATAATATAAAAGTACATATATCTTTTAACATTTTTTTTCTTTTATTTTTACTTTACATGTAATAATTGTATATATTTATAAAATACATGATGCTACTTTGGTACTTGTTTACAATGTGTAATGATCAAATTAGGATATTCATCATCTCAAATATTTATTACTTCTTTGTGCCGAGAACATTTAAAATCCTATTTTCTAGCTTTTAAGGTTTTGCTAACTATATTGACCCTACTGTGCTATAGAACACTAGTACTTTTTCCCCTTATATTGTTGTAATTTTGTATCCGTTAACAAGCCTCTCCTTATCTTTCCATTCCCCCATCTTTCCCAGCCTGTAATAACCATAATTCTATTCTCTACTTTTATGAAGTCTCCTTTTATTATTTGGCTACCACTTGAGTGAGAACATGTAGTATTTATTTTTCTGTGCCTGACTTACAATGCCCTCCAGGTTCATCTATGATACCATAATGACAGAATTGTATTGTTTTTTTATGGCTGAATAATATTCCATTGTGTATGTATACCACATTTTTATTATCCCTACATCTGTTGATGGACATTTAGATTAATCCCATATCTTGACTACTGTGAATAGTGCTGCAATAAACATGGGTGTGCAGATGTCTTTTCTTTACAGTGATTTTATTTCCTTTGGATAAATAACCACTGCTGGAATTGCTGGATCATATGGTGGTTCTAGTTTTAATGTTTTGATAAACACCTGTACTCTTTTCCATAATGGCTGTACTAATTTACATTCCTACAAACATTGTGTAAGAGTTCCCTTTCCTCCACATTCTTGCCATCATTTGTTATGATTTTTCTTTCGGGAAATTGTCATTCTAACAGGGTGAAATGATATCTCATTGTAGTTTTGATTTACCCTTCTCTGATGATTAGTGGTGTTTAACATTTTTTCATATACTTATTATTCATTTGTATGTCTTCTTTTGAGAAATGTCTATTCAGATGTTTTGCCCCTTTTTAAATCAGACTTTTTTATCCTGTTAAGTCATTTGAGTTCCTTATTCAGTATATTAGTCCCTTGTTGGATAAATAGTTTGCAAATATTTCCTCTCATCCTACAAGTTTTATCTTCACCCTGATGATTGTTTCCTTTGCTATGCAGAAGATTTTTAGTTCTAGTCCCATTTGCCTATTTTTGTTTTGTTACCTGTATTTTTGTAGTCTTAGCCATAAAATCTTTGCCGAGACCAATGTTCTGAAAGATTCCTCTTATGTTTTATTCTCATAGTTGTATAGTTTCAAGCATTATACTTGAATCCTTAATTCAGTTTGAGTTAAATTTTGTAATAATGAAAGATAAAGATCTACTCTTAATATTCTGCATATAGATATCCAGTTATATCCAACATCATTTATTAAAGAGGATGTCCTTTGTCCAGTATTTGTTCTTGCCATCATTGTGGAAAATAAGTTGGCTATAGACATATGGGTTTATTTCTGGGTTCTCTATTCTGTTCCATTGGTCTATGGATTTGTTTTTGTGCCATTACCACGCTGATTTTGTTACTATAATTTTGTAGATTATTTTGAAGCCAGGTAGTCTAATGTCTCTAGTTTTGTTCCTTTTTCTCAGTGGTTTCTTGACTTTTTACGGTCTTCTGTGGCTACATATGGATTTTGTTTTTAAAAAAATTCTGTGAAGAAATTGATGTCATCATAGGAATTGTATTGAATCTGTAGATTGCCGTGGATATTATAATCATTTTACTAATAGTAATTCTTCCAATTCCTGAGCATAAGATTTCCTTCCATTTTATTTTTGTATGTCTTATTCAATGTTTCTCATCAGTGTTTTATAACGGATATTGAGTTTTATGAAATGCTTTTCCTGTGTCTGTTGAGATCATCACAGGGTTTTTTATTTTCCTTTATTCTCTTGACTTGATGGATTATACTTATTGATTTGCTTATGTCAAATGATTTTTATATTCTTAGGACAAATGCCACTTGATCATGGTGTATTATCTTTTGATGTGCTGTTGGATTCCATTTGATAATATTTTGTTAAGGAATTTTAGAGCTATATTCTTCAAGGTTATTGGCCTATTGTTTTCCTTTTGTTGTTGTATCTTTGTCTGATTTTGAAATCATACTAATACTGGCTTCATTGAATGATTAGAAAGAACTCCTTAATTTTTTGAAATAGAGAAGAAATAGTGTTAGTTATTTAGGAGTTTGGAATAATTTTGCAAAAAAAGCCATTGGTCCTGGGTTTTTCTTTGTTGGGTCTTTTTATTACTGATTCAGACTTGTTACTCATTACTGGCCACTTTAGGTTTTCTATATCTTCATAGTTCCGTCTTAATTGGTTATATATGTCTAGGAATTTATCAGTTTTCTTAAGGTTTTCCCATTGGTTGGTGTATAGTTATTTATCATAATCTGTAGTGGTTATTTGTATTTCTGTGTTACTAGTTGCAATGTCTCCTATTTTTGTTTCTGAGTTTATTTGGGTCTTGTTTTTTTCTTTCTTTCTTTGTGCTCTAATTAATGGTTTGCCTATTTTTTCTTAATAAAATGTTTTTGTTTTATTTATCTTTATATTTGTTTTATCTCTATTTTGTTTAGTTCTTCTATAATCTTTATTAATTATTTTCGTTTACTATTTTTTGGTTTGCTTCTGTCTTGCTTTTCTAGATCTTGAGGTGCATGATTAGGTGGTTTATTTGAAATCTTTCTTTTTTTGATGTTGGTGTATATTCCTATAAACTTCCCTCTTAGAACTGCTTTTGCTATAAACCATAGGTTTCAGTATATTTTTCTAGTTTCTATTCTATGTGCATTCTATTATATTTTCTATTTCTATATGTGTACATATTCTATTTTTATTTATTCTAAGAACATTTTACATTTCATTCTTAATTTTTTATGTACCCAAAGGCTTTTCATGTGCATGTTGCCTAATTTTCATGTATTTATACAGTTTCCAAGTTTCTTTTTATTAATTTCTAATTTTATTCCATTATGATCTAAGTGCATCCTTGATATCTACTTCAGCATATAACTTAATATGATTTTAATTTTTAAAATGACTATTGAGATTTGTTTTTTTACCTAATGTATGGTCTATGCTAGGGACTCTTCCATGTGCTGAAGAAAATAATATCTATTCTGCTTCTGCTGGATGAAATTTTTGGTACATTTGGTTTAAGTTCATTGTTTCTTTGTTGATTTCTGTCTCTATGATCTCTCCATTCCTGACAGCAGGTTACTGAAATCTCCAGCTATTATTACATTGGTGTCTATATCTCTCTTTATCTTTAGTAATATGTCCTTTATATATCTGGATGCTCTGGTGTTGAGTATACATATATATATGCATACATATGTATGTAAATATGTTTGTCATATCCTCTAACTCAATTGGTCTTCTTATTATAATATAAATACTTTCTTTGTCTCTTTTATGCTTTTTTGACTAAAACCTATTTTTTCTAAGTACAGGTACTACCATATACTTTTGGTTTTGTTTGTGTGGAATATGTTTTTCCATCTTTTCACTTTCAGTTTATCTGCATACATAGGTAAAGTAAGTTTCTTGTAGTTAGCATAGTTTGATTTTACTTTTTATCTATTTATCCATTTTATATTTTTGGAGGGGGATTTAGATCACTTACATTCAAGGTTGTTATTGATAGGTGAGGACTCACTCAGTAATTTTATTGTTTCTGATTGTTTTTATAGCCTTTGTTTCTTTCTTCATCTCTTACTGTTTAACTCGGCAGTTTGGTGGTTTTCTGGGCTAATAATGTTTGGTTATTTACTCATTCACTTGTGTATTTGCTCTACCATTGATTTTTATACTTGTGTGTGTTTTCATGATGGTAGATATTATCTTTTACTTCCAGATCCAGGACTCCTTAAGTAGTTCTTATAGGACTTGTCCAGGGATAAATTTTCTAAGATTTTGCTTGTCTCTGAAATACATGATTTCTCTTTCATTCCTGAAGGATAGATTTGCCATGTAGTCTTTTTAGCTGTCTTTTTTTTCTTCCATCCCTTCAAATATACCATCCCATTCTCTCCCTGCCTGTGAAGTTTCTGCTGAGAAATCAGCTAAAAATCTAGGAGACTCCCTCATATTTGACTTGATTTTTTTGTCTCTCACTCTCTCTCTTTTCTTTGAATTATCATTTTAACTATTATTTTCTTTGTGAATATTTTGAGTAATTAAATATTTATTCTATTACGGGAAGTTTTCCAATGAGAATCACTGTATATATTTCTATATGCATATGTAAAAATATTACCTAAGATGTCAATTAGTTTAGCCAGAAATATGATTTTTAATAATAATAATGGTTACTACAAATCTTCCTGTAAAATTTGTGTCAATTTACACTCCTACCAATTGTTCTTAAGAGTTTCTTTATAACTCAAACTTCATTAACTCTTAGTATAATCAATCTTGATATTTTATTTGTTAAATACAGTGTATAATTTGTGTCATATTCATTTCAGTTTTTAATTTCCTGATTGCAAGCAAGAACAAGACCTATTTTAAGTATTTGGATATTTGCATTAATATCTTTGTTAATATTTCTTTCTCTAACTTCTGTACCTATTTCCCATTGGGGAAATGTATCTAAATTGTGTAAAGGGAAGGTTAAATAGAAAGAGTGAAGATGAAAGTGAATAAAGAATATTAGCATGCCGATGGAACCACAAATACAGGTAAAAGCACACCAAGCGTTTATAGGGCAAAAAGGGGAAATACATTAAGATGCATTAGTCCAAGGGGTATATACATAAATTTTTTTTTTTTTTTTGAGACGGAATTTTGGTCTTGTTACCCAGGCTGGAGTGCAATGGCGCGATCGTGGCTCACGGCAACCTCCGCCTCCTGGGTTCAAGCAATTCTCCCGCCTCAGCCTCCTGAGTAGCTGGGATTACAGGCACGGGCCACCATGCCCAGCTAATTTTTGTATTTTTAGTAGAGACGGGGTTTCACGTGTTGACCAGGATGGTCTCAATCTCTTGACCTCGTGATCCACCCGCCTCGGCCTCCCAAAGTGCTGGGATTATAGGCGTGAGCCACCGCGCCCGGACCATAAATCTGATTTTTATTAAAACAGTGTAACATGGAGAAAATCTGGTTACGTTAATTTTCTTCTTCAGGTTAGAGCTCTTTTTCTCTGTATAAGTGCATTGGGGAAGGGTTAACTAATAAAAGAAAAGCTTTATTTGAGCAAGCTTCTTTACGGAATTTTAAAATGGTGAGAGAAAGAGCTTTCAAGTAGTCATATTCAAATTAATGATGATTGTATTTTCTAATGTTGTATATAGAATCATTCCCATCCTCTCTATATTCACAAATATAGACTGTCACTTAATTATGGCAATTCATCACTATGGAACCCTCATATGTCCCTAGCATCGACCATATATTAGGTAACAAAACAAATCTCAATAGTTACTTTAAAAATTAAAACCATATTAAGTTATATACTCAAGTAGATATCAAGTATGCACTTACATCATAATGGAATAAAATTAGAAATTAATAAAAAGAAACTTTGGAAACTGTATAAATACATGAAAATTAGACAACATGCACCTGAAAAAGCATTGGATATATTTAAAAAATTAAGAATGAAATGTAAAATGTTCTTAGAATAAATAAGGGTTCCAGAGTCAGTGTCTGAGCTGGAAACTAGGCCTATCACTTACCAGCTATGTAACTTTATACAAGTTACTTAAACTCTCCTTATCTAAAAAGGTAAATAAAATTTATATGAGTTAATATATAAAATGTTCTCAGAAAAATACCTGTCATAATCAGTGACTACCTTAGAAATCTTACTTATTATATTATTACATAAATATTTAATAATCTTATTTTTTTCTACACCCCTGTTTTTTCCAGTATATGTCCTAATTCAGAAATAACATTCCTTAGACTTTCCAAAGCTTCCTTGACACATGTAGCTGTCTTTATGTTTACAAGACAATACCTATGCTTATAGACACTGAAAGTCAAATAGCCAAATTAAACAGTGACTTTTGATATGAAATTTAAAACAGATTAAGAAGCTAAATTATGTTTCATAATTTTAATTCAACATTGAAGTCCAGTCTGCTATACATATTCCAAACCAGACTACTTTGTACTCTGACTTAAGGATTATTTATTTTTCCTAATCATAAAGACCCTATACACTACAAACACCTATAACAGTAAAGAGAGTGTCTGATGAATATTATCAATTGTGTTTCTAAAAAGAAGAAAACAAAACAAACACATAAACAAAAAGAACTGGCTGTTAGAGAAGATGACTTTCAAAATGTTGTTCTAACAGTGCCCTTTTTGAGGTAGAGTAACTCTGTAATAATATATGACTTTCAGATAATTAAATACTTTCTTTCTAAATATTTACAGGCATTGTAATTTCTTCACAGCCTACAGTTCTCTGTACTTTAACTTTCTTAACTTACCAGATTTTAAAATATGTTATTATTTTGTTTGCTTTTGAGGAAAAATTTATGAAGAGAAAGTAAAAATATTTGACCCTTGTTATGTCAACATACAATAAGACCGATGCCCATCCATCAACCTTTATTCTTATTGGCATTCCTGGGCTGGAAGCTGCTCACATCTGGATCTCCATCCCCTTTTGTGTGGTCTACCTGTTGGCCCTACTGGGAAACTGCTCTCTTTTGTTTATCATCAAGACAGAGCCCAGTCTCCACGAGCCCATGTACCTCTTCCCCTGCATGCTGGCTGTAGCTGATGTTGTGTGTTCTACAGCTGTGCCCAAACTTCTCAGTCTCTTCTGGTTCCATGATGGAGAGATCCGCTTTGAAGCCTGCCTCACTCAAGTGTTCCTGATTCACTCATGCTCTACCATGGAATCTGGCTTCTTCCTGGCCATGGCCTTTGACCGATACATGGCCATTTGTAATCCATTAAGACATTCAGCTATTCTGACACACGCTGTAATTGGGAGAATGGGCCTAGCTATTGTACTCAGGGGCATAGCACTTCTCAGTCCTCACCCTTTCCTATTACGTTGGCTTCCCTACTGCAGAACCCATATCATTTATCATCACACCTACTGTGAGTTCATGGCCCTCATCAGGATTGCCTGTGTGGAGAAAAAAATTTGCAGAGCCTATGGCCTCATTGTTACCTTCCTTACTGGCGGGGTGGACTTTATATTGATCATTTGCTCTTATGTCCTCATACTCCACACCATTTTCCAGCTCCCAACCAAAAATGCCCTACTCAAATCTTTGGGCACCTGTGGCTCCCATGTCTGTGTCATCTTAGTGTTCTATACTCCAGCCTTCTCTTTTCTCACCCACAGGTTTGGGCACCATGTGGCTCCCCATGTTCACATATTTGTGGCCAACATCTATCTTCTTGTCCCACCCAGGGTAAACCCCATTATCTATGGGGTAAGGACAAAAAGGATATGGGACAGGTTCTTTAAAGTTTTCAGTTTTTCAAAGCCTCTAACTGAATCATTTTTGCTGGTGAGAGATAACTGAACAAAACTTTGCATTATCTTCGAATGTAAGATCTTTCTATTAAGGCACTCATTTAATAATCAGACAGCTAAGATATTTCTGTGGAAAGTAACTTATTCAAACATAATTGTTAAACAGATATAATTATAGATTGTCTATGTACATTAGATTACCAAGTACAGGGATTACTTGACATTTAAATCTTGTTAGACTGTTTGAAGTTAATAATTTGAATAATATGACTGTCACACAGTGTATTTCAAAGTTTCAATTGGCATATAACCATCTGAATCTTGCCATTATAGAAGATATCAATCTGAACGTCTTAGGAAACCAGATTAATAAAAGAAGAGGAGAGTTTGGGTCATGAGGCAGAGGAAAGGGAAAAAAAATGAAGAGGAGGCTACGAGAAAATCTGACTTTGAACTGTGTCTTTTTTTGGATTATTTCGACAGCACTTTGGAGTTTATTCTAAAATGCTGCAATTATTTTTCAACTTATTCCTACATTGTTTCCCCTTTCTCCTTTTTAAAGGAAATCTTACTTTATTATCAACTCTTTCTGATTTATGATGACCAATTAAATTTGCTTAACAAAATGTATAATGATAAATTTTATTCATTTTTCATGTGTCAATCAAAATGTTTTAATGTTTTCAACTGATAAAAGCCTAGCATCTCTCTCTGAAATCTTAAACATTGACAATATCAAGATCATGTATTTTACATATAACATAAAATATTCACTTTGAGCTTATCAGCCACAACATTTGGCTACTTAAATTATATGACTCTACATATTTTATATTCTCATGATATTTTCTTCAGATCTAAAAATATATTACATATTCACTATTCTGTGTACAGATACGTCAAAAAGTTTCAAAAGGAAGAAATATTTTTATATAATGCCTATTATCCTTCCTTATGATGTCCAGAATTGTGTTGCTTATTTCAATCATAGCAGGCTTTTTGGCTAAGGTATATAAAAGTTATGACATCATTATGTTGAGACGGATCTATTACTAAGGGAGAACTCTATGAAAATGTTATTTTCTCAAAACAAAGCAAAAAATTCATGGGGAATAATTAGAGACAAAAATAATAATAGTAAGAGACTTTTAAAATTGACATGATATATAATCATAGATCTTTCTTTGACCATGTATGTCTTATCATAAGATTTACTTTTTTTGTTGTTTGCCACAGTTCATTCTTGACTGAAGTGCTTTCTCAAGTATACAATACAGCACTTTCTTGAGAGTCTTTTGGTGATCACTTTTCTGTTATATGTTCATCTAAGGTTTTCTTTATTTTACCCTCATTCCTAAATGAAATTTTTCTAGCTACATAATTCTACTTTCAGTTATTACATTCTCTTAGCCTTTTGAAGTCATTATCTATAATCTTCTGAAATGTATCTTTGCTCTTAATCAGTGTATAGTGTGCCAAAGTATCATGAATTTGTAGGTAATTATGTTTTCTCTGTGAATGCTATTAAATCTTGCTTTTTTTTTGGTGTATGCAATTTCACATGGATAATCTTACAGGCATAGAGTGATACAACACAGACAAAAGTCTACATACTGTATGAGAGTCTTTTCATGTAAACTAGAGAAGGAGAAACTGATTATTAGTAATTGACCACTGTAAAAATATTTTAGTCAAGTACTTCACCCCTCAAGCTACAAATTTTGAAGAGAATAGATATTTATTAAGCAGGTTCAAAGTTTTTTACTGTATGTTCTGTATGCATAATCACTTAACCCTTTCAATACTTTGGGGGGTTAATTTTCATAAAAATCCAGATAATAAGTAGCTTGGCACACTCATATTTGGTGGGTTACTGAATAGAGAATCTGGGATTTGAAGTCTGTCTAGCTCTAAAGAAATAACTTTTCTGTAATCTCACAACTATTTCATAAACAACTGAATGTCATTGAACGGGGCTTTCAGGAACACAGCTGCTCACAGACTCAAGTGCCAAATTGTTACTACTGTTCATACCATCTTCCATGACTACCCTCATTTTAGATTCATTTAGTCAATGTTTAATTACTAACTAGAATTCGCTGGAAATACAATGATATTTAAGGCGAGGTTTGTAATCAGTTGCAGGATCTCAATGGTGGACACACAAAAATATAACCTTTCTTTCCCATATGATTTCTAAAGAAATTGAGATAAAATAAATTGATGAAAGATGAATCCAAGATATAATACTTCTTAGTGATTAAAATTATTGTAAAGGACTTTGTTTGGGTTGAGAGCCAGTGAACACTGTAACTGAACCCCAGAATTAGGCATATATTTCTCATAAGAACGGGAACACTTACCACATGGTGGAGCATGAGGAAACACATATAACTTCTTTAGAAAGCCCTAGTACCGAAAAGGTGTGTGTGTTTGAGGGAAGGGGCACTTAATTAAACATACTTAGTTTATTCTTGCCAAATTTGCAAATCTATTACCTTTCTCAGTATTCTTATTATTCTCCCTTGCACATATTGAATCAGGGTGTAGAGAACGGATGGGATTTATAACTTGAAAATAAAGAGTGTGGGGAAACATTTTGCTCCAACAGTTTGATAAAGTTGATTCAAACACATAGAAAGTTCTTTTCAGTATAACATATAACATTTATATGGTGCCGGCATTCCACTAGTCAATTCTGAATTTTTAGATCCCTTAACCTCAGTAATTCCTGCTGCAAACTGACAAGGTTTCTAATATTGATATGCTTATTTTACAAATAAAAAACAGAGACACAGATAAATTAGTTGATTTTTCCACAATTGTGGAGATAGTAAAGGTGAAGCCAGGATTTGAACCTAAGGTGTTTGACACTAGATTTACTTTCTTACCCACTATACTATATAAGAATGGTAATAGTTCCCGAATATAAGACATCAGGTATATCAGGTAAGTAAAAACAAAATTTGCTGTGGGTTAGGCCAAGTCAGAGGGGTGTGTGTGTGTGTGTGTGTGTGTGTGTATGTGTGTGTGTATAGAGGAATATAGGCAGTGGCATTCAGCTTTGGGATGGCCAACTCTGCAAGTAACTACTTCTCTTTCTAAAGATCTTCCTAATATTTCTTTTTGACAGTCAACTGATCATTATTAATCAACTTTAAACTTTCTGGAATGATAGTTCTTAAAATTTAGAATGTTTGAAGCCTCTTAAAAATAAGACATTGCTTGGATCTACTCTAAGGCAATCAGATTCAAAATTTCAGTGGTGGTTTCCATAACTTCTGCTTTTCAACAATCATCCTAATATCTATGATTCACTGGTTCACAACCCAGCCTTGGAAAAATAGGTTATAGGATGTTGCCAATGGTTACAGATGCCATTGTACATAAATGCTACAGTATTCTTTAAAATTTCCACCAGGGCTTCTTCTTTTTATTTAGCATGTATACATTGGAAGACCACTGCTCTCAAAATTTTGTTGCAAAAAAAAGCATACAATAAAAAATACTCACAATTTTCTTGGACTGATCAAATAGTTAAAATCACAGAGCAACCAACTAATTCTAATCTAAAAGAAGATAGGCAACTTCAAGAAAAATGGAACATGATCCCTAGCTTGTTAGGGGAGGCTGTCAGATTCTACAAAAGCCAGCAAAAAGGATTTACCAAAATTTTAAAGCAAATTGCTTAAAGTGAAGTGTAAATTTATGTGAGAATATAAAATAGGAAATTCATTCCCACTCAGGTTATCCTCCCTAGACTTCTACCAGGTAATTGTGAGAAAGACTGGAGGCAGGACTGCCTGAAAAAGCCTTCATCGTGGAACAGACCTGGTAGAGGGAAATAGCAGCAACAAAGGTTGGTAATCACACTTCACCCAGTTCCTTCTTTCTCCTCCTCCTTGAGGATCAATTGCCTTCAGCCGCTGGGGGCACAGTACATATATGTGAAGACCATTGCTGCTGAAAGGAGTAGAAACAAATCCTGTAACCACAGCATGAATCAGGATCATCGGAAGTCTCCTGCAGCTTGGGGAGGGGCAGAATCACTCGCTGAGAACTTTTCACCTCCAAGACCCAGGAACATGGTGTCAGCCTCAGATTGAGGCTGAATCAATACGACGGAATAAATGAATAGATAAACGACGAGTTCAGTCGCACAACTGGTGTCCAGGAAAAGTCTATAATTACATAATTACAGTGTGTAATTATAATGCTTATAAATACCAGTATAACTGATTTTTTAATAGATTTTCAAGCTCTGGGTGTATTGTTAACGAATACATATACCCCCTTAAGAATATTTGACATTATATTTTCCATTGTAATAACAATAGGTCGATTTTCATTTTTTTTTTCTAAAGTGCATTCTAGGTAATATGTGTCATGGGATGGCCTAGAAAGAGAATCCTGACACCAATCTTGGCTTCAAGTTTCAAATGAGTATTTGTTGATTAAAAACACTGAGAGGTTTTGCAATAAATATTTTCCAAACTTCATTACCACATTTTTTCTTGAATCTTTCTACTTATGATGTCAATAATGTCACATGGACCTGAAGAGCACTGAATTATATCACATTAAACTAAACTTTCATTAAAACAAAGAACAATAACAACAAAAAACACTTAGAACATCACTTGGACTTTTGACATTCCATAAAAGTAAAATTTCTCTAAGAGATGGCAAAAAAAAAAAAAAACCCACATAAACAATATTGTTTGGAAAAGAACAGTTTGTTTTCAAACAACTATCAGTAAGTGAGATTTTATAAAAACTTGTCCACCAAATAAAAAAAATACAGTATGTCTTTTTTTTTTTTTCTTCCAAAAGAAGGCTACAAATTTACCAAGATTTCTAAGTTTCTGCCATTCTTTTTACGGTGGGAGACCTCCAGCTCTTTTCATGGCTATCATATTAACTATCAATTTTATAACGTCCAACATTATTATGAGAAAGACAAAAATAACATTATTTTTGATCATCCAGGTATATGGAAAATCCTCCAATGTTTATTGTATAAAACCAGCACTCATTGGGATGACTCAATATTTTTCTTTAAACTCAGCATGTAGAAGACTTTATAGTGTTTTGTTTGTTTGCTTGTTTCTGGTTTTTCATTTGAATTTTCTTTAAACTGACTATGACTATTATATGCTCAGTCATAAAGGATGCAGAACAAAGTGTTCACATTCTTTCATATTAGGTATCTGAATCATTTCCAAATAATGGAATGTTAGAAAACATTCTTATCTATCCATTTGACATGAACTTAACTTTCAATCTCTGGGTAGCACTGGCCAAAATGATCACATTTTTCAGTCCTCCCCTAAGATGGTCCTAAATACTGTCCAAATGTTCGATTTTTACTTTGGACATAGAAAATTAGTGCCACTTTCATTGTAAATATGATTATTTATGATATTGAAAAATAATCAATCTGATATTTATAAATGAGCTATGTTTCATTTATTGGAAAACATTTTCAGCACTTGCGCCCTAATCTGTTTTGTTCTGACACCATAAATTACAGGGTTGACAGCAGGTGGAATGACTACATAGAAATTAGCCAGAAGGGTGTGGACAAAGCGAGGTATATTCTGACCAAACCTGTGGGTCATGAATGAGAAAAATGCAGGGGTATAGAAACTCAACATGACACACACATGAGAGCCACAGGTGCTGACTACCTTGAGTCGTGCACCACATGAACAGAGTCGAAATAAAGCATGAAGAATCTGTACGTAGGAAATGACAATTGCTATGATGTCAAGGACCAGGATACAGATGGCACATAAGCCATAGATGATGTTGGTCCTGATGCTGGCACAGGACAGGCGGGCAATGTCCATGTGCTCACAATAAGTGTGAGGAATAGTTTGGTGTCCACAGAATGGCAGCCTTACGATGAGTAGAACAAAGGTTATGGCAAAGGCGAAGGTTCTCAGAAGAATGACCAGTGCTATAACTGACACCATCTTGTTTGTCAGCACCAACGTGTAGCGAAGAGGGTCACAAATGGCCACATTGTGATCATAGGCCATGGTCACAAGCACAGCTGATTCCATGCTAGTGCACAGGTGGATGAAAAACATTTGGGTAATGCATCCTTCAAAGGAGATTTCTTGCAGGGTAAACCAGAAGATGCCAAGCATTTTAGGGATGGTGGATGTAGACAGGCCCAGGTCAATAGATGACAGAATGGCCAGGAAGTAGAACATGGGCTGATGGAGACTACTCTCAGTCTGAATCACAAAAAGAATGGTGATATTCCCAAGGACAGCTGTCAGGAACACAGCAAAGAAAAGAAAACCAATCCAGAGATACATATTTTCCAACCCAAGAATTCACAGGAGAAGGAAAGAGTAAGGATGAAATAGAGTGGTATTCCTTAATGCCATCCTTCTAGGATGGGTCTATATATCATATACTAAATGTCTCTTATTCATTGAGTGGTTTTATCCTTGTTTAGTGCACAGAGAAAACAGAAATTAGTGAAACTAATATCTACCATACTTCTGCATTATGGAGGCTTGAAAGTACGTACAATTTAATGGTAATATGCGGCCCAAAGATTTCAATGTACTTCATTAGATCCATTCAAGTAAATTCAACATTTTAGTTCAACAAACATTAGTTATCTACCATCTACATACGAGCTTATATGCTGAGACTGACTGCAAAAGATGAACGAAAGAAGGTGTATTTCCTGATGCAACACGGTGTTAGTGTTAGCAGCTGTAACAGTTACACAAATCAGCAATGTAAAATTATACAATATTGGTGAGATGAAATTGTTCCCTTAGATACACAAAAGATTCTCCTGAAAATATTTAACATTATTTTATGGACAAACTTTTTAATTCATAAATATATACATAATGAACAAATAATTAGACACATGATTTAAATATGATTAGACCCATTATAGTTCACATTTATGAACCAAGCTTATATAATTCACTCTTCAAAGAAACCACAAATGTATCATGCTGGTACATTCTAAGATGATTTTGGATGTGTGCAGCTGTTTCATTGTTTAAGTCTGCAAGTCCATTTCTCATTCCACAGTCATGTTAAAAATTCTCCTTTGTTGCTGATGCCCATATTAGAGAGGAACAATGCCTTGAGGTTTCATTAATTAAACCTCTTACTCTGGATAATCCTCTCAAGATAATCTCGCTGTGGGTCTGCTTACAATGGAATGCACATATCCCTCTTCATTTCAGATCTGATAATATTTTTTCCCCATTTATTTATTTTATTGCATTTTAGGTTTTGGGGTACATGTGAAGAACATGCAAAATTGTTGCATAGGAACACACGTGGCAGTGTGATTTGCTGCCTTCCTCCCCATCACCTACATCTGGCATTTCTCCCCTTGCTATCTCTCCCCAACTTCCCACCCCCCACCGTCCCTCCCCTATTACTCCCCAACTGGCCCCAGTGTGTAGTGCTCCCCTCCCTGTGTCCCTGTGTTCTCATTGTTCAACACCCGCCTATGAGTGATAATATTTCTAAATGTCTTTCTGCTAACAACTGTCAAGAAAGAAACAGATTTACAAACATGAACACATGGAAACATTAAGATTCAAGTTTATGAAACATCACATTGTTGTCAGGCAAAGTGTGTCAATTTGTACACATCATTTCTTGATAGTGAGTTTGGCATTTGTCTCACTACATTGTGTTGACATGATGAATCTCATCCTTATAAAACTAAGCACAATATGATCAAGAACTCTTTCTCTTTCACTAATGTTTGTATGTGTGTGCGTGCGTGTGCATGTGTATATCTTGGAAGGGTGCACTGCAGCTTGGGTCTTGGACAAATTTCTTAAGAAACTCTAGAGTGTAGACATTGATCCAGGTATAGGAAAGAGAAAAGGAAATTGGGTTAAGATAATTATTCCAAAACAAACAAATTGGGAAATATAAAGGAATTCTCAGAAAAAATAAAGCTATTTAGAAAACTGTTCTAATTTCCTCAGGGGTGACTACATGCAAGATGTGGTGTTGAATTGAGGAGACAGGTAAAGGAGATGCAACAGAATTCTATATTCAGATTTCTTCTTTGTGAGTTTGATTTATCTATCTTAACGGGGCCTAGTATATGAAAATGAAATAATGTTTAGAAAATAACACTAGGAATTGAGTCCAAGTATTGTTTCTCATTGCCATGTCATATTGATTAAATCATTTTTCTTCTCTAAGACACCTCCCCTATGAAATGACAATAAAATACCTACATTGCAAGAATTTTGCAAGTTATTTCTGACTCAAAATCGCTCATCACAAAAGTGTATTACAGTTACTGGTTATCCTATTGATAAGAACATGACAAAGTAAAAAGCTATCATGAACTTGCTTATGCAGCTTGTCAGGTAATCCTTTATAGAATTTAGAAGACATTCAATCCTGGTGCTCACTTTATCTTCATATAAATATTTTGGTAGCATGTATAATGCATATAATCCAGTGCAAATGATTATTCTTATCATTGGACATTTACACAGAAATTGCATTATACATTTGGAAACTTCACCATTGAAAAATGATCGAGACTAACTTCTGGTGGAGAAAGGTAGCATGTAATTTGTTCGTGTTTTACTGGAGGGGGTAATTTATTAATGGTTTAAGGTAACTTGAACATTGTTTTTCTCACCATGTCAAACATGGGCCTGGGCTGGGGCCATTAATCTAATCTTTAGATTAATTTAAAAGAAATTGAAGGAGAGAGAACAGTGAGAAATAGACAGAAGATGTGAAGAGAAGGAACTCTTATAGATTGTTGCATGGCAGTGAAGAGCTCTAGTGCACAGAATGGCAAAAGTGTCAAAAGAAGTAAGAGCTTCACACAGAGATTGTGTTAGATGTATAAGAAAGAACTGAAGGTAGTAGTTGCTCAAGTGTATATGAAATTATGCCAACACATTCTTACAGTAAGCTCCCTTATCCATTTCCCTCAGTGAGGAGGTTTTCTGTTCTTCCCCCTATTTTGTCACCTTCTGCTCTTTTTGTTGTTCTCAGCCACAGATCAGAATCAGTACTTCCAAAATGTTACCTACCAGGAAAGGTTCCTGGAGAAGTAAGCAAATCGCCCTTCACATTCTGAATTCCATTTGCTCTGGAGGGTGGTGTTTTGTACTGTGGTCACAACATCCAGAGTGAGATCATTGCAACATCCTGTATTGGAACACCCTGGAGATAATGGGACCTGCAAAGCTCTGAGCTTAGTATTAACTCTTTCATGGGAAGTTGAATGTTACTGGACATAGACAACCTATGTCCTGATTTTGAGAACAGATTCTGACATATAGGATTATCTTATTTCCAAGGGTAAATTAATATTTTTAGAAAATGTATGTGTGTGTGTGTGTGTGTGTGTGTGTGTGTGTGTGTGTGTATAAATCTTATAAAACCCTTAAACATTTTTAAACAGTTTTCTTGGTATCAGGTCTGAGTGCTTTGTCCTCAACACCTGAAGGAGGGTGGTGCTAGTCCATGCGCCATAATAGGCTAATGACCAAATTAAATCTCTGTATATCTTCTTACTATCGTACAGCTACCTCTCAACTATATTGAGTATAATAATGACATTACATAGTAAAGAATCACACTATAACTGAAATGCATTCAATTTTATAGCCACTGAGATCTATTATGTCATTCCTCTGCAGGTTTTCCATCACTAATGGAAAGCAGAGATGAAAATCCAGAGGTCAGAGACTAGATAATTTGTTGTTACTGATTGCTTATCTAAAATAATGTACAGCTTGCTTTATCCTATTAATCTCACTTTTGAAACTTGTAAAATGAGAAAAAATATTAAATAAGCTTTAGTATCCTTTATTCCTAACATCATATGAGTTTTTTATCCCATGTTACTGTTGTGGAGACAGCAATAGAGAGGGAAGGAGTTCATGCAATGCTGCAGGGCTGAGCTTTCCAGGTTTCCATTCTAGAAGGTTTGCCCATGAGTGATAGGGACTGATCTTGGTCACTGAAAAGGATAAATCAGGTTCATGGTTCATTCACTGATGATTCAACAAATATGCATTCACTATCTGCTATTATCAGCTATTGTTTTAGGTACTAATAAACAGAACTGATACACTAACAAACAGAGCTGATACACTAACAAACAGAGCTGATAAAATGTCCTTTTCTATAGTAAGAGGAAAACAAGACAGAATAATAAAATAAGTGTTTCAATTTATGTCGATACATAAAGTGCAAGGTGGGGGTAGGGATGATTACAGTTAAGTGTTGGTACTTCTAAATAACATTGTCAGGGGAACTGACATTAAGAATGTGACATTTAAGTAAAGGTTTCAAGGAGGTAAGAGAGCAAGCCATGTAGAATCTGGGAGAGGGTCAGGGGAAGTATTCCGGGCAGAGAGAACAACAAATGAAAAGAGACTGAGGCTAAGGCATACATGGTATAGTCAAGAAAAAGCACAAGTGTTAGAGAATAAAAATCTCAGGTATAAGCATATTGGAAATCCTTAGATGTCCATAAACACTTATTTCATTGTGTCATCATCCAATATGTGTACATCACAGGAGATCCTGATATAGTGGCCAGCAGTCAGGGTAGCCCATGGATAGTAGTTCAGTCAAGGAGATGTATTTAAGTCAATTACTTGTTGTGTTGTTTGGTAACCTTTATTTTCTAAGTATAGCAAAAAAACAAACAAACATATTGTCAGATTATTAATAGTTATATGTTTAAACACTGCCTGATAATACATAAATATATTTGCATGACTTTTCATTCCTTGTTTTACAAAATTATAGTAATTACTACTGAGTAAACATCACAAATCTATTTAAAAAAAAACAGAAAATGAGTGTTTTATTTTGTTTAAGTACTCAAATTGGATGATGAGGGAATAACAACATACACAAATGAAAAAAAGGGTGGATGGTTCCTTTAAGGCAGTTCATTATTTGCATACATTTAGAAATCTGTATCACACAGTAAGGCTTACCTGCAAGTAGTTGTGAATATTGCTTTAGTTATCTCCTAAATCTAGTGTCACTGTGGAGATTCTAATTCTTATAATTACTATCACCGTGTGGGTGATATCCTCTACTACCCTATAAATCTGAAGTTTTATATGTTTGTTTAAATAGTAAAATTATTAGTCACTTTTTCAAATATTTTCCCTTTATTAATAATTTATTTCTATAATTCATGATATATGCTTTTGAAAACTCTTATCCTCTATTTATGCAAACTTTTCATTTTCTGATATTTATTGACTGGTAATAATTTCATATTTGTTTTTATGATTGGTTATGTGACAAAATTTGTGTGTATGTACTTGAACACAACATTATGTAATTTTACGAAAATAATTTTATGAAAGTTGATGAAAGTTTACTAATTATCTTTTTTCCCAAATATTTTTTAAATTATACTATAAGTTCTGGGGTACATGTGCAGAACGTGCAGGTTTGTTACATAGGTATACACGTGCCATTGTGGTTTGCTGCATCCATCACCCTGTCATCTACATGAGGTATTTCTCCTAATGTTACCCTTCCTCAATCCCCCACCCCCTGCTATC